CCGATCCTGTGGTCCCAACCCGGGTCCTAACCCGGCTCTGTGATCTCAACCCGGGTCCTGTGGTCTCAACCCGGCCCTGTTATCCCAACCCGGGTCCTGTGGTCCTAAATCGGGTTTTCTGGCCCCAACCCGGACCTTGCGGTCCCAACCCGGGTCCCGTGGCCATAATTCGGGTCTTCTGATTCCAACTCGGGCCTGTGATCCCAACTCGGGTCCTATGATCCCAACTCGGGTCCTGTGATCCCAACTCGGGTCCTGTGATCCCAACCCGGATCCTTTGGTCTTATCCCAGGTCTTGTGGTCTCAACCCGGGTCCTGTTATCCAAACTCGACTCCTGCTTTCCCAACCCGGTTCCTGTGGTGTCAACTGGGATTGACGACAGTTCACTTAAGAACACCTCACCCCATGACAGGAATATAGTAAAACTTGACTGAATATTTGCACCAAGTCTCTAATAAACTATTCCTAATTATTATTCAAAATAGTAAAGCGATCTCTCTTAGAATGTTGGAAAGTTTTTTTTTTTTTGTGTGACAAAATTGGAAGACTTGGACGAACTCTGCCTATTGAGCTTCTTAATTAGTAAATACCTCAACTCCTTCCATTCCTTTCTTCTGGACCGTCCGGGGAATAGTTCTTGCAGCGATAAAATTCTGGCTTTGTTGAACTCTTGGACGCGAGAACACCTCCCCGGGGATTTTTGTACACTTGGTTCTTTGATGTTGTCCTCTACTCGTAACCTGTTATTTGTTTCGAGTCTACAATATATCTTAAAAGTCTTAATGCCATTATATATTTAAATATGTGTGCACATAAAGGCATGGATGCATAATTTAAGACTGTTAAAATTGACTTTGGCATTTTCAATTTATGTACATCGTCGTGTTTCTTAAAACAGCTTGTAATATAATCGCTACAAAACAGGATATGCTCCTTAATACCTGATACTATTATTAATTTTTTTTTGGATAAACTTTGTTATACGTGAAATAAGAAATAGAACAAGAAGACATTCTCCATTTTAGATTTCCAAAAAGATTAGCTAACATATTGATAAGAGATAGCAAAAGAGATTTTGACACATTTGTATCTCAAATATAGAGGTTTCCATTCTGACATTTGTATTTCGGAGAACAAAGAGGCTGCTTCTTTAGCTAGAGACGTTATTTATTTTATTAATGTTTCAGCCAAAATATTTTGTTCTTGTCAGGATGAAAAGCGAATATGCAGA